AAAAATCCAAGTATTATTATTTAATTTCCTAATCCCAACTTCATCATATTTTTAAAAACAATTACGGGAATTATCCGCATTGGATAGTTTTCGACAAAACAAATTCTATTTCTAAATCTACACTACGGAAAAGTATTAGAATAAATAACAAGAACACTTTTTTTTTTTCTTCTTTTTTTTTCCTTTTATTTTACAATATTTTGGTCAAATTTACAAAATATTTAAACACTACTTTAATTCAGAGAATTATATTTCACTACAATATTTCAATTTTATTTCTTCATCACTCCTCAATGAGAAGCCTCGGTTCCAATAAGCGACTCGGCCCCGGCACCCCCTCGGGACGGGATAGGTCAGCAAAAACCGGATACCCTGAAAGATTATAACGGAAAAAGAATATCAATTTTTTTTTTCTTATTATAATAAGTAAAAGATTTTTAAAATTCAAAATTAAATAAACTGTAACTCACCTCGTGAGTAGTAGCGATCCAGGACAAAGTCAGCGAGTGCTTGCCGCAACCTTTCCAATTTGGAAAGGTTGGGAGTGAAAAACTGCTGATGGGTTCCAGGGTCCTCCAACATTTTCCGAGTGAATTTTTGGGAAAATTTGGTGACCTCGGGACCCGCAGGTCCGAACAATACCAACCACTCACCAACCAAATCCAATGCCTGGGGTGAGCGGAGCCTGCATCCTACGCAATAATTTGATGCCATGACGCAGGTCCTGAAAACACCAAAAGTCCGTTAAAAACTAAAAAAAAAAAAAAAAAAGAAGAGTAGAAAAAGAAATAGAAACTCACTCACCTGTTCCCCAAATACCGCAGTCGCGTACTGGAACCAGGTTCCATAGTTTTCAAAATTAATTTTGACGGGATACATCCTTTTTCTTTCCAAAAAAAAATAAACCACTAATATTCTTAAAAAATTTTTTTTTTCTCTTTCTTCCCTTCTTCTGTTTTCACTGCACGTCTTTTCATTACTAACGCCTGAGCAAATCTGATGATATCACTACGCTCCTACACTGATACTTAATACCTTGCTGCGTTTTGATTCATTAAAACGCTTGCTCGACATTGTAACAAGCGGGAAAAATTATGATATGTATGAAACCAGATGACTAATCTTATGTACCATATGATAATAAAACTTTTATAACTATTATCATAAGTACTATTTAGCTGCGGATAAAGCAGCAAACCTTACAATAAGCAGTACAAACGATTAACTGCGATGATAAATAATATAAACTTAACCAAATTTAAATAAAGTAATCATATACCCCATATCTTAAGCATTATATTGTAAAACCAGGGAAATAAATTTATATTCTTATAAATTAATTTTAATACATGTAACGGGTAAACACGTACTTAATACTTCAATAACAAAATTTATGTAATTCAAAATTATTTAAACAAAATTGTAAGCAAGCATGAACTTTTCGTCAAAATGAGACGCCCGAATTCGCGAAAGAAAAGATGCTGTTAGCACCCTTCCTTTCGGGGGGGATGCTGTTATATTCGGCGTGCCGTCTATAATACAGGGCCTCCCATTCCAGCCGAAAAGTGTAGCGCTTGCATATTTAAGGAACAACGACCTGGACTGCGCGACAACTCACTCGTGGCCGAAGAATACACATTACCGCGCATTGTCACCTTATCGCAAGAACCAATTGTTTAATTAGTAGCCCCACTTAATAAATCGCAACCGAGGTGATAAAAGACGCGAACACCATTATTCGATAGCTCATTTACAAGGTAACAGTTCTGCCTTAGAGCCCGGGTGAGTCCTACACCCCGTTACGTGTAGGCCGACTTCAATTATTAAATTAATTAGTCACCTTTCCCCTAATTATTCATTTCGATTCCTTAACGGTATTTCCGAGTTCTGTGATTGTGATTCTTCGAGCCACGATTCGTTTTGACGATAATCGAGATTCCCGCAGTTTCGGTGACCTGGTCCCACTCTCAAATTATTTTCTCCTTCTGTGAATTTATAATCGGCGAACTTTTGTTTGCCGGAGTCGTTACTCCGATTACGAACTCATATAAACTTTCCACTTGTTTTATATTGTTATTAGTTAATAAGTGAATAGTGTAAGTTAAGACGTGTTTGCCCATAGGGCCAGTTAAACAGAATATATAAACCTAAAAACTCGAATCGAAGTGTATCATCATTTCTAAGCTAAGAACCTTCAGCCTTCAACTTTTAGTCTCCAGTCAGCAGGAGGAAGCGAGAAGCCAAGCAGCGGAAGTCAAAAGGTACAAGTCCAATCTAAAGCCGAATCATCGTTGGAATTAGGATTCGCAATAGTAAGTGGAGGATATTTTATTATTTCCGGGGTCGATTGTCTTATTCAAGGGGCCCTCTCCGGGGTTTTCACCTTCACGGACCCATAAAATATAAACTTAACGATTCTTTCGTTGGGGAAATTCCTCTGTTATCCGAACCTCCGTGAGCCTAGCTACTAAAATCTAAGATCATATTTTCTCGGACATAACAATGTGGTTTTTTGATGTTGAGAGTTGATTAGTTTTTGAAACTGATCGGTAAAGCCGTTTAAAAGTAATTCAAAAAACAAACACATAATAATAATAATAATAATTTATTCAAGTGATTTTTAAGATACAACTTTGATACACTTTTTGGATTCAATTGTGATTAGAAAATGAAATAAAAGCAAATAAATACATAATAGTTAAGCAATTAAGTGTTAGACACTATGAAAATGAAAATAAAAAATAATCATAAGAATAAGTATAAGTAGCAGAATTAATGTCAGTAAAAAATATAAAGTGTAACAGAAAAAAATAGAAAATATATTGTAACAAAAAAAAAAAATTAGGACGACGGTTGACCCTAAAGGCCATCCGTGCAACTTCCCGCTCATTTTGTACTTAAGCGCTTAAAATTACACATTACGTTTTTGAGCTCTTCAAGCTCAAAATATGATTTTTGTGTCATTTTGAGCTCATCGAGCTCAAAACTCTAATAGCAGTTTAATAAAACACAACTTTTTGAATTTTCAAACCGCAATAACTTTTGAATGAATAAACCGATTTTCACGCGGTTGACGGTATTCAACGCAGTTTTTGAAGCCTCATTACAAACTTGTAAGTTTTAATTGATCGAAATTGAGACCAGACTTGTTCAAGCCTTGAAAAAGATTGTTATGTGGGTATGTGATAGAAAAATGATCTAAGAGCGAATTTTATGACAACCCTGATTTAAAAAAAGTATTGAACCATGCAACTGTATATCTATATTGTATGTATATATAGATATACAGTGTGTGAAAAGTATTGAAAAAGTATTGAATTACATACTTTTTCAATACTTTTCAATACTTTTTTTTAATCAGGGAATCTACTCCCAATATGGATAGCGGGGGTGGGTGTTAAAAATAAAAATTGTAAATTCCCGAGCTATAGCTCCTACAGACTCCTAAATTCGGTAGGAGTAAATTTCCTAGCTATAGTTCTTACAAATTTCCAAATTTGGTAGAAATCTTCGTGTCAAGTTCAGCTAAGAATGGATTTTATTAATTAAATTCCAACCTCAATAAGAATTGTGGGGGCGTTATAATAACGAACAATTCTTATTTCCAAACAATAGTTTCATATGCATATATTTCATATGCAGGCTGTGTCAGAGAGATGAGTAGAATAGAAAAAATGTTGTTGTTTATAAATTAGAACTTTTTGAAACATGAAATTTAGGACATGTCTATTAAATTTCAATAAAATTTACTAAAAATTTCCTTACAACAATCGTCTCTTTGGCAGCGGGGAAAATGTCATTGTAAGGTTTCCAAAACTTAACATTACACGTAGTTATTCAGTGAACGGACTAAGAATTTAACATACATGTTATTTTTTCTGATCACTAGGGCCAGGAACTGCTGCGAAAGTCCTGGCCCTACTGATCACATAACCGCTAAATTGTTCTTATTGCGGGATAAAAAAAATTTTTTCAAATGTGGTTTTTTTGGAATAGTTTTTAAACGGCTTTACCGATCAATTCCAAAAACTAATCAGCTCTTGACATCAAAAAACCACGTCGATCGCCGCCAAGCCGGTCAAAAATCGGTTGATTCGTTCGAGCGATATCGTGAACGAAAGAAAACAGAAATGAGGCTGAAAAAACTGCGTCGAATGCCGCCAACTGCATGAAAATTGGTTAACTCGTTCAAAAGTTATTGCGGTTTGAAAATTCAAAAAATAGATGCCGGGAAAAAATGTTCAGGACTGATCAGACCTGTTCATATCTGATCAGACCTGAAATCCGACCTGATCAGGCCTGTTCAGGTATGATCAGACCTGTCCATGTATGATCAGGCCTATTCATGTATGATCAGACCTGTCCATGTCTGATCATGTCTGTTCTAGCCTAATAGAAAAGGATTAAAACTCCATATATCAGCTGACAAGAACTGTTCATGCATGATTTGCCCTCTTAAATGATATTTTAAATCTGGAAAAAAAATTTTATCGAACTATAGACTGCAGTTCTATTTTTAAAATTAATTTGTTCCGTATGACGTATCAGTTTCTATCCCCTTATAAATTTTAAATGTAAAACTTTCATTAAAAATTTCGGCCTATATAAGCATGGACTTTTTAATTTTCCATGCCAAAACGATGATTTTTAACGATGAATTTTGACGCAATGACAAAATTTTTTACTGTGTTCCATTGAATACGCGAAAAATAAGAATAATTAGTAAAAGTTTGAGTTTGATAGCATTAAAATATACCAAAATATGTCAGTTAATATCGATAAGTCCTTTCAAGGTGTATGCTATTATCTTAAGCTACGCCTTGATCCATTGCAGTAGTGTCAAAGGCTTTTAAATTGTAGAACACAAATAATTCTTCATTTCCTATACGTATTTATTAAAAAAAACTTCAATTTTTAAAGAAAACAATAAAATTATAATTACGGAATAAACCTTGAAGAAATTGTTCTTTTTACTTTACATAGAACCATATGTTAATAAAGCGAATAAAATACATAGCCGTCCCAAATAAATAGACTCATGCCTGTTCATATCTGATCAGATATGATCATTTTTTCCCGGGGTTCTATGAAACTTCTATCAGACTTTTGAGCTCTAAGAGTTCAAAAACATAGAAAAGCTATCTCTCTGAGCTCAGAGAGCTCAAAATAACACATAAATTATATTTTTGAGCTTGAAGAGCCCAGAAACATCATAAGTACCATTTTAGGCGCCTAGGTATGGAATTAGCGGGAAGTTACGGGGATAGCCTTCAGGATCAACCGTTTTCCTAATTTTTTTTTTTTTTAACTTTCCTTCCTAAGCGGCACAAAAATTGTTTTAGCGATGTTTTATTGAATATAAGTTGACAATTATTAGTTTTTAACTTCTTGTTGAATAAAATCTTCCAAAAAGTCAAAATTGACGTACTTGAAATATTCAGATTTTACAAACCATTCGCACATCCCTACAATTAATAGATATTATTATGTCATAATAAATTTTATAAATTAAATTTATGATTAAAGATTTTCAAGTTCAAACTGAAGCATTGACATCAGTTTTGGATGAGTCACCAGATGAACGACACGATGCAGAAATTTTTCGAGCAGTGTTTGAGTCAATGAAGCAGTGGGAATTACATAAAAAACGTTCTATGCGAAAAAAAAGAGAAACATCTCGAGTATGCTATGAAAATGTTGGGTGTTTTGAAGATACTGGACCATTTAGTTATTTAGAAATGCTTCCTTCACCACCTAAAGATGTCGGTACAAGGTAAAAATTCTTATTCTATATTAATTATTTGAGGCGGTCTTTATACACAAATTTTTTTTGATCCAGATTTTACGTTTATGGAAGTCGAAAAGCTAGATCAGTACCGATGGAAGTTTCTGCTGACGATGTAGCAAATGATGTAGCAAATAATGCAATTGATCCTCAATTACCTACAAAAATAATTGTTCACGGCTTTGGATCTGATTGTGACAATGTTTGGGTATACGAGATGCGATCGGCACTTATGTCAGTACATGACTGTAACATTGGTTTGTATTGAGTACAATAAAAAAATTTCCCTTGTTATGATTTAGTTAATACTTAAAATTTTTAATCAGTGCTCTTTAAAAACAAATAATAAAATTTAGTATGTGTTGACTGGAGTCCTGGAAGTGCGATACCGAATTATGTAAGAGCGGCAGCTAATACAAGACTAGTAGGAAGACAGTTAGCACAATTTGTACGAGGTCTCAATGTATCTCTGGATATGGTTCATATGATTGGATTTAGTTTAGGTGCACATGTTGCAGGTTTTGCTGGTTCAGAGCTTTTTAATGTCTCTAGAATTACTGGTAATTACAAATTTGATATAAATTGTTCTATAAATGTCATGTAACAGTTGGAAAATCGTGGAGCTAAAAAATGAAAAATATAAATGATATATATATATATCTACTATATGATTGACTTGACGATTGATCTACTTAAAAAGTAATATTTCAAGACCTGATATAGATTTAGAAAAATTTATACTTCTTTCAGATATAACAAACTATACAAACTATCTAAAAAAATGTATTTGTTCGAGTTTATAGGTCTGGACCCTGCTGGACCTCTATTTGAAACTCAAGATCCACAAGTAAGGCTCGATAATATGGACGCTCATTTCGTTGATGTGATACACAGTAATGGGGAACAATTAATTCTTGGTGGCTTGGGATCATGGCAGCCAATGGGTGACGTTGATTTTTATCCAAACGGTGGACGAATGCAAACCGGATGCTCCAATCTATTTTTGGGGGCAGTATCTGACTTTATTTGGTGTAAGTAAAATACTTTCAATAAATTAAAACTATATTTCAAGTATCAATTAAACCGAATTAAAACTATAGCTTTCAGTTTTATTAGCTATAGTAAACTGTGATGAATTCAAATAGTCGCTTTTTAAGAGGACCTTCCTCTAAAATATTATAAGTTTTTATGATTAGTTATAAACTTATTAAAAATTTTTTTTACATTAAAAAATCTCGATTAATAATAGTCGTAATTACAAAGAATCTTGGTACTGCAGTAAAAAGAAACTTCCCAAGTAACATGTGCTTGAGCAAGATTTTGGTGCCAGCGTCTTGAGCAAAACCCCTAGTTGCTAGTGTCTTTTTCTACATATGGGTCTTGCTCAAGTTTATTTAAAAAGACATGGTTCAAGATTTATATGTAACTAGCTCAAGACATCTTGTGCAAGAATATGAGACAAGTCTAAAGCAAGGTGCATTGAAAAACTTTCTTACGCATTTTTTGTACCAGAAACTCACAACAAAGACTTACCCATGACTTGCTCAAGATTTGCTCAAGATCCGTAATTCTCAGAAATCCACTGATTCTATAGTAAATATAGGAGGGGTAGAATGATGCAAACG